GTGATGGTATTTGTTTTTCTACAGTACTCTAGGTACTGGGGATGCAATTCTTTCAGACCTGACAGGGTCAGCATATGCACCTGCACCTATGTATTTTAGTCTGCTGTTAGAGAAAGAACAACAAGTGGAAGATGGTAAAAAGAGTTATTTGTAATGTTCAAAAGTTTTGTACAAAGGAGTGTATGTACTTACTGTTTTGTTTTTTTACTGTGGTATTGAATTGTGTATCAAGAATCGTAAAATTTCACTGGTATTGTGTCATCCCTATGTAAATTTCATCACTAGCAGGTATGATGTCCAAAACTATTAAAATAAGACCATTCTTAATATTTAGTCTACCCTCCACTTCTCATATAAACTTTTCATTCTAATTATTCTACTTTTATAAACTCTGTTCTGCTTATACTGCATTTTTCTTTTCCAGCCTGCTGTTATTCTGTTATTGTTGCAGCTGGAACAATCCATTTTCCCCACAGGAGTCAACAAAGTTGTATTTTTTCTTAGTAAAATATGATCTTGGTCCATAGTCACACTGAAAAAGATGCGTGTGTGCTACACACAAACAGGAGGTGCAAGTTTTACCATAAAACCAGCTGGGTCTTATCTGAGGCTCACATACTTCTAATTAGGACTCATTCTGCTTATTTTCCTGGCTCTGTTTAACTTTCTGAGGTCCAACAGAGACTTTACCATATGTGCAGATATTTGCAGAACTTGTGGGATGAGTTCTCTCGTTACACACTATTGCCCCCAATCCCGTTTCGCTCACATACACCTTTAGCCTGCTGACACATCCTATCCAACAAAGGCATCCAGTCAATCATGCGTTTAAAACTCAGCATTCAGCTGGAGGCGTAGCCAGCCTCAGAGCTATGAGCCAGCACAAAGACACTCAGCCTGTGATCTCAACAAGACCTGACAAAGGAGCCTCATCCAGCTAAAGGCTACAGGGACGGAAAATCTCGCTTTTTTTCACTGCGCTGGAGAGAAGAGGCTTCCTTTAGAGGCAGCCAGGTAAAAGAAAAGCTTTTAAAGTGTCAGATGACTCAAAGTGTCAGATGTTTGCCTGGACTTCAGCATTGTCTTTCTTCAACAACTGTTCGATATGAAAAAGAACACAGAACAGCAGCAACAGCAACACATGCACACAAACCAGAACACCCAGACATCCAACCGGCCGTACCTGTTGAGCTGTTTCTGCAGCAGGTCCAGGCGAGTGTCCAGCTGGTTGCGTTGCTGTCGGCTCAGGCTGTGCAGCGGCGCGTTGAGTGGCGGTGGGGAGGCCAGGCTGCAGCTGGGAACCTCCTGGTACTGACCGCCCCCCCGACTCTCCCCCCAGAAACTAAAGATGTTGGACACACCTGAGAATGCACCTGTAGGAGAAGAAGACAGGTGGAGGGGAAGCATGTGTGTTTGCGTGAAACACTGGGCAGGCATTACTGTACAGATTTGGGGACGCTCTTCTGTTTTGTTTTACCTGACAGGGCGTTGCACGTGTTCCCAGTCTTGGGGTCTCCGTCACCCTCAGTGTTCTCGTTGAAGCTCATGGGCTTGACCTGAGCCTGTGGGCTCTCCAGCATCACCGGTGGAGGGGCGAGTCTGGTCCCAACTGACTCCTCCCCCTGTAAGAGGTGAAGACATTAACACCAGTTTTTACTGTGCCATGGCATATGACAAAACAATAAGTATTAGTCAGTTAGTCATGATGGAAATTACTTATACCTCATCACCACTGGAGTTTGAGGACACTGAGCTTCGATGTGCCTCCCACTGATGCTTAGTTGCCTTCTCCTGTTTTTGGTTGTTGGCTGCTTCCCTCTGTCTTCGTCTCACAGACTTATGGGATTTTTTAATTTCGCCAGCATCTGCATCATCTGGACAGAAGTAGGTGTGCATGGAAAGATTAAAAAAGAGGCAGTTTGGTCAGTCCAGCTGGATCAGGACTAATCTTTCAAAGATGAACACAAGGTCATCAGGAAAAGTCTGGCAGGAACAAACTTTATTATCAAATTAACTTTACTAAAGCTATGTTTCTGTAAGCATTCAGACAGTCAGATTATTTGGAGGTTTTTTAAATGACAATTGAACAAATGGTCGAAGTAAGGTACGAGCTATAGAGGGTGGGCTACCTTTTTCTGTACGTCTTCGGAACGATAACTTCCGTCTGCGTAATTTGTTGAATCCCCCACAGTTGGAGTCATCGCTGCTTGGAGAGCCTGGGATCATGTTGGTCTGAAAGGAGGACCAGCATTAAATAGTCTTATTAAAAGATAACACCGCAGGGGTGCTAGAGTTAAAGGAAAGTCTTTGCTTGGATAAAACAATCCAGAGAACACCAAGGTTTGTAAACTTACATCTCGGAGGTTGAAGGTGATTTCCAGGTTGTTCCAGAAGTTGTCTGCGAATTCAGGATACATGTCCAGCACCTCCAGAACATCTTCTCTTAAGATCTTGTGGAGGTCGCAGTAGGTTAGAGCCCTTACATCAGCGTTGGATTTACCCGGTCGGGAATACAGGTTGATAGGCTCGCCAAAGATGTCATTCTTACCTGGGAGAGGTGAAAAAAAGGAAACCTTTATGGGTGAAACAATAGAGCTGTGTTTCCCAAATTCAGAGTCACAACACCGTTTTTATCAGGTCATCAACTGCTAAAATGCTATGATACGTAAATTATTTTTACGTAAATTAATTTTATGTATCATAGCATACCAGAGAGCTGGAGTTACATATAGTAACTACTATTTTTGCTATGCTGGTCTGTTCAGCTCAGATGTGAGTGCCACCGCCCCTATTTTTGCAAACCTGGGTCTGAAAATGTGTTTTCTCTCGCTCTCTGATTGACGTAACGTTGAGTGTGTCTCACTCTGGAATTGTGATGTACTTCATGTACTTGTCGGCACAAGTTCGTTATGAGGTGGTGAGAAACTCAACATTACACTCAGCGAATGTGTTTAGTGCTGTGATATACTTTTATAATGATTTCATATCCACTTTAAATTCGTGGTTTGTTAAGTTCTTTATCAGAAGTTTATAAATGTAGATGTTACGGCAATTCATAAACATATTTTTTGGGTCCCAGGGAAACACCAACTTTCTCTTTTGGCTCTTTAGATGAAAAAGTTTGGGAAGCTCTGCAATAGAGCAACTGCTTTTTAGATTGACTGAAATATCAGACTATATATATATATATAGATTATATTTTATTGTTAAATATGTAAGGTACCCTATTCATTGAAAGGGTTTGTCTCTGCCTATACTGTCAAGAAATTCAACTGCTCTTGAATTATTATAGACAGTGTCTGTTATGTTGAATATTTTCACATCCTGAACATCCTGTTGTGTTATCCTGAATCTACAGTGAACTAGTAGAAGTAACACTCAATGCTCACCAGCAGATGGCACTACCAGCTTGTGCATATTTACCCCCAAAAAATGTAAGTGGACACAAAAGAGGCCTGCTACATACTTTCTTAAAATCTAAATTGACACAGGGATATGGACCAATGGAGCATTTTTTATTACTACTGTTATATTAGTAACAGTACTATTGCCATATCCACGCAGTCTGAACTACTCTTATTTACTGTAGGGCTCTGGGAAGAAGCCCTGAATTGAAATGAAATATTGGTCTAAACTGCTTATACTAACAGATGTATATCTCCAGATGCTGTCATGTTATTGCTAGATTTAGGTTCTAATAACCTAAAAGTTAAGAAGGGAACATATATGATAAGTAAAACATTTATTGAAAGCTTTGTATATATAAATATATATGTTTTGTACCCAAGATGGCTACCACCACGTCTCCTCTCAGTATCTCTATGGATCCCCTGGATATGAAGTAGAGGGCAGTGAGGACGTCCCCAGCGTGGACCAGCGTGTCGCCAGGGGGTGCGTGGGTGGTCTTGAACTTCATGGCCAATGCCCTGAGGCAGCCCTTGGTGGAGCCTGTAAAAGCCTTACAGTTCTGCAGCAGCGTCCGGTTCAGATGGAGGCAGATATCCGCCTGAAGACACTCTGGGAAACCTTTCAGCACCTGGGGAGGGAGAGGGGGCGAGGGAGCAAGGAAGCAGAGGGAGAGAGGGAGGAGACAAGGACATGGGAGGAATGAGGGATTAAGAAGTAGGGGAGGGGAGGAAATAAAGAACACAAGAAGACAGGGGGTGAGAAACAGTCAGAGATACAAGTGGGGCGAAAGAGTGAACAGTGAAAAGAGAAGGTGTGGCAGGAAAGAAGGGAAAGAGAAGGAAGAAGAAGAGGTGAGATTAAGAAAGCAAATGAATCGATAGAGAAAGGTTACATCAGTATTGATACATGCTCTTAGCAGCCAGTGACTGATACAGTGAGTCCAGAACATAAAGCTCATAAAGCACATAAAAGTCAAAGATTATGGACGCTTTAAAAGGAATAATAAAAAGTGGAGCCTTTACTGTCATCCCTACTAGTAAACACTCATGGGACATTAGCCTTTTACTGTTATTACACCATTCCACAAATGAACATGAATAAACTAAATTGCCTATACATTTATCTGATATTTGTTCTAATCATCAGAGAAGTCATGATTTTAATTTTAGTTTTTATGGTATTAACCCCTGAGTAGAAGACAAGCATCAGCAGTCCTTCTTTTAAAAAGGGCCTATGCAGTGGTTTTTCGGGCTTCTCCGCAAAATTATTTCAAACTGTATTTTAGATGGCCTACCGGAACAGTGTCAGCAGGCCTGTAGAGTGTAATTAATATGAAGAAATGGTGCAGTTTTAATGAGTTTGCTGCAAGCATGGGAAGCCCCAGCACTTTTAAGGCTATGGGGCTCCTCTTGTAACTCTCTGGCTGACTGCACAGAACAGAAGCTCACCCACACTGTGTTTCTTCCTCTCCATTTATCTCTTTTTCATCTGTTTAAAGCTACTTCCTCATTTCAGCCTTCACTGAGCTCCTTCTTCATCTCTCTGTCGGCAAATGTCCATTTCTCTCTTTAAACATTTTCCACCCATCTTGGTCTTAAGGATCCCCTCCACTTTTTATGTAATTTCCACATTAAAATCCTTAAAAAGTCATCTACTCCTTCTACCTCATTACAAATTCCAGAAACCCTGAATATGCAAAGGTTAATTTCTAAAGTTTTCCTGCTGGACTCAAGATGTCTCCTACTTGACTGTCCATTCTCAGTGGATGTGCACTGTTCGCTTCAAGTTTCTACATCACACTGTACAACTTGCATACTGGACCAGGGTTGACTTCTCCATCAACTATTTGTGATGTCACAAATCATGCTGCCCCTTACAATCATATGTTCAATGAGCACAGAGAAACTTTCCACTTTCAGCAGATGAATGTGAAAATATCCTTCTATTGTCAAACTCTGCACATACAGCATTCAAACATCACACTGTAGGAACAAGAAGAAACAGAGTTACTGTATTTTTGTTGGCTTCATTGCTCATCACCACTTTCCCCACCAAACACACACAAACTTTTTTAAATGTTTCAAGGTATGGTTTGAAGACAGTCAAACACATAGAAACATGGGAGTTATAGTAACAACTCCCTTCTGTGGATTTGAATAATAGCCTACTATTATTCCCTGTACTCAACAACCGTTTTGTGCCAGGTACAAGCCCCAAAATGTGCTGAAGTCAGATTTTACAGGCCAGCGCTATCAGTTTAATGGTGCATTTAGCAGATGCTCAACTGCACACACAGGTGAGTGTATACCTGGCATTATACTGTATAAGTAGTTAACTGCCTAATGTAGGTGTAGTCGAAGTAAGTATCCTGCACACATATCCTGCATGTATATACATTTGAATCAACCTAGAAAATGGCAAATTATGATAAAACTGGTTGTTGTGTCTTCTGTAATAATGCTACTTTCTAAAAATCAGAAGTGCTGTATGGTTAATGCACTTACCCACCTTGAAATCATGTTTAGTTTCCTTGATAGAGACTTAATACTTAATGATGCTGTGTTTTGCATCTTTCCTACAAAGACCATTGTCCTTAACTTCCTTCTGTTTCATTGTTGTCACACAGATTAAATATTGTTTTTATGCAAAAAACATACAGAGAAAGTAGAAGTACTTAGTCACTTAGATGAGTGTATTAACATTTTCATTCTCTCATCTAGACTATGGCGGCTGGACGGTAAGAGGCCACTGAGAGACAGCTTATAAAAAAGAACATAAAAAAAAGAAATTCCACCCTTAGAGGTAGCACTAACACTTAGTTGTTTTGTTTGTTTTTTAAAATGTTCTTATAACAAAGAAGTGTCAAGTGTTGAAACATATGGCACTAATATATTTCAAGGAGGACAGGAGAACAAACAAGGATGAGCAAAAGTAAGACGTTTGTTACGATTGATGCTGCAATAACAACAACCCCGATCATTCTGTAGGTATCTAATTGTCTCTGCTTCCACTGATCTGAGCACATCTCAGAGCTACACTGGGCTGTGGCTGTGCTATTGTATCTAAAGCCAATAACACAATACTCTGGAAAGAACAGAACATTTTCATTTTATTGGTTATTGATCTCTGCAAGTGTCTGCAGAAGTTGCACATATTCACACAGAGGTTAGAGGCCAGCTGCAAACAATTCAGTGCCCTGCTCGTCCACATGCAAAAGATGCAACAGATTTATTTCCCCTGCTCTCATCACAACACTCCAATAGCGTTCAGTTCCTCATCAGAACTGCATTATTATTCTCTCCATCCTCATGAATGAAGGAGGCCATAGCTGATTTAATCAATTGTTGAGACAGGCAGACAGACAGGGTCTGCTCCACACAATCAAAATAATCATTACAGTAAACATTCTCTAATCCAGTCTGCTCACTACACTGCACTTCACTGGGCCTTTAAGAGAGCAGCATAATAAGGGAAGAGGAGGGGGCCAACACCGAAAAATACGTTCCCATGGATGCTTGTCAAATTTGTTTCCTCTCTACTTCAATGGCTCACTTATTACACTGAAATGACACAAGATTTCTCTGATGGAATATTGTGTTTGGGCTGGGACTTCGCTCCCAAACAAGGCTCCTCTATGCTTCTATAGGGCTTCACAGACAATAATGAGGCGCTGATTACGCTCCTATGAGCAATTTTTAAAAGAATTTGGATGCTGGAAAGGCTTCCTGAAGTTACGAGCAGAGATATTTTTAGTAAAGTGTACTTCTTGAGCAGAGATTATAAAACAGCTTACAAAGTAATGAAAAATTGTAGCTTAAAAAATACCAATAGTTTGGAAACTATTTCAGTAGTCAAACAATAGCTAAATGCACACTTACAGATCCACATATACAAACTACACAAAGATATATGATGTGTAAACAATGATGACATCCATTGACTCATGCACGGCATTAATTACTTGCATCAGCACATCTCAACTGTGTTCTTATGTGTGCATGTTCATCTGTAGTTGCATGCATGTTTGTGTCCAATGACACATCTGAGTCGAAGCCTTCAACACTGGTACAGAGAAACAGAAGATGTGCCTTTGTCTGTGTGTGTGTGTGTAAGAAGCATCATCCTATACACTGTGACTGACAGAGTTCAGGTTGCGGTCGACTGTATACAACAAGCATGTTGGCAGCACTCCTTTAATCTGTCTGTGTGTTAGCATGCATGGTGCGTTTGTGTCCTTTGACAGGTGTGACTCACTGTGTGTGTGTATGTGTGTGTCTGTGTGTTTCAACTTGTATGTGAAAAGAGTGTATTAGCCCTCAAGCATGTGAACTGACTGATGTAGGTCCATGCATATTGCAAATACTTTAACTCGTCTATTTGCATATGTTTGAGTATGTGTGTGTGTGTGTGTGTGTGTGTATTATTTATGATACTCACATCATTCCTATTTTCTCTGAGGGTGTCGGACCATGCATGCTGAGACAAAGTCTTCCAATCATCCTATTAACGTACAACGCAGGCTCAAAATACTCCTCTAGCCTTCTTTGTGTACACGTGTGTATTCATGCGCAACACTCATTCACTAACATGAACAGACTAGGTGTACACACACAAGATTTGGGTGCATGAGGATCAGTACTCACAGCATTCATGTCGATCCCGTTGGTGTAGGACCAGGCGTGTTGGAAATACTCCTCCAGCCTCTGCCTGAGTGGGTTGGGGATCTGGTGGAAGCGGATGAACTCCCTGACTCTCAGCATCTGGGTGTGGTAGCGGGCCGTCCCCGAATACAGCCGCTGGATGATGGCTGACACATTCCCAAAGATGCTGGCGTACATCAGAGCTGGACGTGGGAGACGGGCAGAGGGTAAGACAGGAAACGAGTGAAGTAGGCAGGAAGCGAGAGAAAAGCATATACATTAACAGAGAATATATGGGCAGGCACTTGATACACTGATATGACCTGACACATTTCTGGCTGACTGTCTTCTCCATCTAAAAAAAATACATATTATTAAGCTTGACACCCTTGGGTGATGTGCTTGATAAGAATACTGTAAGTGGAGAAAAGCAAGGAGAAGATAGCAGGAAAGAAGAGAGAGAGCTCAGACAGCTGATGGTATAATAATGGAGAATAATGAAGATGTATTAGTATGCAGAGCTGGGTTGAAGAAAAGATATTTGCACTGTATGTAAGTACAGATATATACATTATAAGTGTCTTTGTAGGGGCCACTAAGACTAACAGGAAAGGTAATAGTTGTGGCTGCAAAATAGTGGGATGAACTACCTTTAATCTGCATAAATCTACCTATTAATCTACATAAACTATAATATGTGATATGTGAAGCCATATTGCTCAGAGTCACTCTGCCCATTGACTCACAAAGACTAACATTGAAATGACCCCCTTTTTTTTCAGGTGCACAGTGTCTTTAAGTTAGTTAGTTAGACACACCCCAAATGCATTGAAATGATTACAACATCCAAAAACGGTATCAGTGTACATGCCTGAGCATGTGCATATTGTTTTAAGTGAGACTAGACAAAATGTGAGCCAGTCCTTTAAAACAGACTACAAAAATGTAATTATTTTCTTTAATAAGTTTGAGATGTTAGTATTATTATAGATTTATATTATATTAGTGTGGACACTAGGCTCACTAGCCAATTTAAATTGAATTCTAATCGAACTGCAAATGCAGTTCAATACTACTACCAAACAAGAAAACCACTGGGTCATACATTATGTATATACTTACTAATTTGATTCATACAACAAGTAAATTGGTAAATAGATGGATTGTACTTAGGGACTACAAAGTGCCTTTCCGACCACTCAAAGCACTTTACACTACATGTCACATTCACACACATACATAAATACATTGTACATACACTGATGGCAGAGGCTGCCATGCAAGGTGCCAACTGCTCCTCTACAATAATTTGTGACATTGTTTGAAATCTAAATATGAGAAAAAAGTTCCCTTTAGAATAATTCAGTTCAAACATCAGTTTTTAGCATGACACCAGTCCGCTGCAGAACAGATAGAGCAGGTCTGTAGAGGACAGAGCGTTTTGTGTTGTATCATTCGTGAGCCTCCCTGTTTTGTCCTGTTGTCATGTTGGATCCCGCTAACCTCCCAACCTCTGTCAGCTCCCATCACTGTCCACATCACCCACTAAAACTACTGCTAAAACTTTGTGTGAGTGAGTGTGTATTTCCGCATGTGTGTGTCACAAGGTAAAGAATTGATCCCTGCCTCTACTTTAATATGTTTTATAAAGCTCATTGCAATTCCATAGTACACTTCCATTATAAAGCAACAGAATATGGTACTACAATAACAGACATTTTACAAGCCTCAGGTCAGTTTCTGGCCAAGCAACTGTCACACTGCCTGCAGGAGGAACGCAGCCAAACTAAAAATGAAAACAAAAAAGGGCCTTGTTGAATAAGTGCCTCCAAGTATTTGATTTTAACCTTGTTTAACTGTAACTACAGTACAATATATATTGCTTTTTTCAATTTATTTTATAAACATAATACAAAATAATGAGTACTTGCATGCAATAAACAAACTTTATAGATTGAGAAGTACTTTTAAATTTCATAATTATTTTCTCATCTTATGGTTTGCCTGCTCAATGAGGTCCAGGGCTCTGGCAGCATGCAGTGGTAATTACTCTGCAGAGAGGAAGCTGAGTTGATAAGCATGAGAGGGGATATTACAATCCCCGCTGATGGATTTTATGAATAAATCATTAAGTGATATGCTTTCAGAATGAAAAGTATGATCTATGGCTCTGTCCAGCTGCTGTAACTGTAAGAAGAATAGTACATAAAAATAGGAAAGAATAACATCTTAGTGATTTAAAACCTCCCAACATTCAAAATAGACGGTGGAGTAGAGAAATGAGGTGTGAGATGCTTTGGTTTGGGGTTGGTGGACCTTGTTACACCGGCTAGAATGGCAGCGGATCATCTACAGCAGCTGTGATGGAGCCTTAACGCAACGCAGCCAGATCTGATCTGACATTGGTCGTTATAGTACAGGAGGAGGACATGGAGTGTCTCTACTGTTTTTTTCCAGCCTGTATGAGCTGTTGTCAGCACTTTCTCCACCCAGGTCTGAAAAGAAGGAAGAGTTACTTTTACCATAGTATCAGTACTTACATCCTATAAGCATGACGCAGATGGAGAAGATCTTCTCAGAGTTAGTGTTTGGCGACACATTTCCAAATCCCACACTGGTCAGACTGCTGAAGGTGAAGTACAGAGCTGTGACATACTTGTCTTTGATGGAGGGTCCCGAACCTGGTGAGGAAATGTTACATTTTTGTTTAACAGCATGACAGATGGTCACTGATGATCATTCCACAATTAAATCAAAAAGCACACATTTGATATTTAGCATGTGTTTTAAAACTGAGCTGACCAGTACAAACTGTCACAGACAGACCTTTCTAACCAGTGTTACTACATTATTTATCCTCTCAGTACCTGGGATGGAGTCGTTGAAGTGTTTTCCCAGTTGGTCCCCCAGCGTGTGAAGCCAGCCAATCGAACCATTCCTCTCTACGCTACCGATGGCATACCTGGGAAAAATAACAGTTATATGAATGTACTGTCTATATGTAAGAGTTAGCAATAATTAGAACAATGCTGCTACAGTAGATAATCACACTAAATTGGTTTTCAAACTCTTAATAGAAAAATTAAACATTTTGAAACTGTTCAAATATTAATTTTCTGTCGTAACAGTTTGACTTGGACTAAGACGCACACAGTACACCTCTGTGCACAAGAATCCTAATATATTACATATATTGTATTGACGATACTGTGACTCCAGTGCCCATATAATAGCAGCTTTGGTGTATGCAGACAGAGACATGATTATTCCCACATTACTCCTTTATCTGAGTCTTATGGCAATGTACCAGATGCAGGCCAGCCAGTGAGCGATGAGGGCGAAGGTGCACATGAGGAGGAAGAGGACAGCTGCGCCGTACTCCGAGTAGCGGTCCAGCTTCCTGGCCACACGCACCAATCGCAGGAGACGTGCAGTTTTCAGCAGACCAATCAAAGTGGTGGTCTGATGGGAGTGGGAGAGATGGAGAAAAGCAGAGATAAGGTGTTGTAAAGCATGGCAGAAAACAAAGTCCCTTGGCTCTGATGTCTCCTCACAGTGTTCCCACCTGTCAATCTGTCACACACATACATTTACACGCGCACGCACGCACGCACGCACGCACGCACGCACGCACGCACACACACACACACGCACACACACACACACACAGGGTGCAGCCCTGGCCCTTTGTCCCGAGGTGATTCACTGTTGTGGAGGTGGTAATTCCTGGACTCCCTTCATACTGTGGCTGTCTACTCCCTCTCTTTTCTACTTGTATTCAGCTGGGCCCCCTCCATGTCCATACAACAAATAAGATAACAGGCAGATTACTTGGCTGGCTGGCAATCTATATGACTTTTGTACTACTGCGTCTATGTGTGGTGGAGTGTGTGTTTATGTGCATGTCCTCACAGTAAATAATTGCTGTCTGCTGAGGAAAATCTGCACTTTCTTGGCTCTGTGGCCCCTTCCGAACAGCATCAATGAAGTGAACCTTGGCAAAGCTCTCCCCAGGCTGTATTTGAATGTTGGGGAGTTTCCACATTCATCATTATTGGCTTGTTGGGTGGCTTAATCGCAATACATAACTTATTGTTTATAACTTACATGCCTCACATTACTTAGATGCATTTCAAGTACCGCTTACTCTGTCAATAGAATTACGCGGGCTGGAGTGATTGGTGGTTTTCATCTTCATTATGTGGGAAGTATCATCAGAGGGCTGCAGCAACCTAGAGGAACTCACTCACTCACTCCCCTCCCTCTTCTTATAACTACCACCTCTTCCTCCAGACACCCACCTCCCACTTCCTTAAATTCTCATCACTCTCCTACTGTTCAGGAAACCATAGAACCTTAAAGACACTCTCAAATTTACACACAAATCCTGTTTCATCATGAGGAGTGCTACTCAGTCTGTCTACCTATATGCACAAACAGTTGTTATACTGTATGTCTTGTGTGACTTTGTTAAACAGAGACAAATAACAAATCTTCACACTGGAGAAGCTTTAAGCAAACAATGTTTGGTACGTTTCCTTAACAAATCATTTAAATGTACATGTATGAATGGCTTTGTATTGCCACTGTGTGAAGAGACTGTATTGTAACTTAAAAAATGAGACCTTCCTTGGTTTCTCAGTTACTTATAACAACCTGTAGACTGACTTGTAAAGGAGGAACAGTTTTTCAGGGAGAATCCAAAGGATGTGACGTTTAAGTGCTGACTGATGCCTCTCCTGTCCCCCCCTGAACACGCCATCTTCTCGTCCCCAGAGTCAGAGTCGTGGTTGGAGCAGCTGTGAATCACCTCTCTACTGTATTCTCTCTGTATACTCAGAGGCTGTGGAGGCTTACTCACTCACGCTTACTTAAAGGCCACCGGTGTCATTAATAAGAAGGATTTTCTGAAAATTCTATATTGTACCTTTAAATAAACAATTATAAAAAATCAATATAATCAGTCAATATAATTCTTTATTAATTTACTCATTTTCTCACTAGCATTAGCACACTGCACTGAGTAATGTTATTTTGATGTTCTATCACAGCTAACTGCAAAAATTAACTTTCCCATGGAGATAATTAAATTATGAGACAAAAACTGCACCACATCTGCCTCTCTCTGTCTTCCTCATATTCCACATCTTCCACCTCCCTGTCTACCTCCTCCTCTTCCCTCTTTGTATATTTTAGTTCCTCATCTCCTCTTTATGGCAGACACGATGTCAATGCAGCAACATTTCTCTCTTGCTCTTTTTATCCCTCCGTCTCCCTGACACTTGTCTCGTCCTTTCCTCACACCTTCTCTGCACTATATAAAACATATATAAGCCATCGTCTGTCCCTCCCTCCATCATGGTCTACCTCCTCTCCGTTGCGGTAGATGAGCAGGTCAAAGGGAATAGCAGCCACCATGTCGATGAGGAACCAGCCTTTGAAGTAGTGCACGGCGATACGCACCGGGTGGCTCACCACCTCATCATTAGAGTTCACATATGTTGTCCTGGGAGGAAGAGTACAGATTATAGTAAATTTACTGACATCAACTTCTTTTTACCAATGCTACTACCAGAGTTTCTTCTTTTACAACCAATACTAACAACACATTAATGAGGACAGAGCACTGCATTTGGGAACTAGATTTGCAGCATTCTTGTATTTACTACGCCTAATTCGACAACTGCTACAGCTGTTTCTACTAGAACAAAAAACCCTGCTGCTACTGTTACAATGCTATTGTTACAACTACTGGTACACTGTATCTAGATGTGTCTAAAGTCTGACCTGAAGTTGATAAGGATGTCAATAATGAACATGATATCCACTATGAGGTCCACCACATTGAGAGGAGAGCAGGAGTAACCACAGTTCTGCATGGCTACCTCTTCCTGAGAAGACAGAAGAGAACAGAGAGATGTGAAAGGGAGAATACAGAAGAGCAAAAAAGACAGGAGAAGAGAATTATAATCTAATGCTCTATAAATAGTTGTGTGTGATTACCTCCTTCAAATGGATTAGTATTAAGGGTGTCAAGATCATTTGCATACATTTATAGACACAACATGAAGAGGTGACAAAAAAACAGGGCTTTCAGCAGGATCCAGGTGCTTCAGCACACAAATCAGGAGTAAACAAAAGCTATAATAGCTTTTACTTTACAAGGTACACATTGTCCTGAGAAACTCTATCTACATTTATTCAGCACCTTGGAAATCCTGTGTGAAATATTACTTTATTTATCACTGTTTGCCAGAAGACGTTCTGTCAGTCAAACAATGTTCTCACGGTGGGAGCGCTTTTTTCTGTTCTGCTCTGTTCATTTGCTGTTGAAAGAAAATGTTAATGCTTCAACTACTGTTGATACTAACTCAACATTTACTAAATGTGTTCACAATAAAAGTATTTAGACACAGTAATAGCCCTTTATTGTGAAATTACTGTGAAATTATAGGGGCAAAGTAGTCCCAACACCTAAAATTATTACTCTGCTATTTACATAGCAACATCATTTTTTGCAGTAGTTTTTTGTTAATATGTGTGGCATTTATTCAGTTTGAGAAATTCCACAATCTCTAGATAAATAAATAAAATAAATAAATTATTGTTAAGATTGTTTTCCAGTTATCAGTCAGACCCTTGTATTTCTAGTAAAACGGAGATAACAATAGCAAAAAGTTTTGGGTTTTTGGAGAGTGAATTTCCCCACAATATGAAATCATTTCGATTATATCTTTTATTTTGTTAGTAAATGCAGGACCAAGGCACCTGCACCGGGTAATTACCCTACTGTAAGAATCGGAGACCAGGCTAGTGAAATTAGCTAGTGTTACAAAAATGACGGAAACATGTTTGATGGAACACTTTGTGAGGATAAAATTATATATATATGCAGGAACCTAAGCATGTAATTTAGCTGTTTGATTGTTTTGCAAGCAAAAAGAAAAAAGAGAGCGACACAGGGAAAATGGTTGGAAAAAGAGGGGCGTGTGAATATGTGCAGAAGTGTGAATATGTGTATTTGTGTATTTAATATTTATTTGAGACCCATTAGACATTGTATTCTCATGGATCTAGGATGATAAAAGTGGATTAGGGTTGTAACTTGTAACCACACAAGCTAATCTATACAATATTGTGTTTAAGTACTGGAGCAATCAATCATCATGTCTAAGGATTGTATGTTGAATACTGTAGATGTAAAGTCCTTCAAAGCACTTTTGTGATTTGTGACTGAGCAACATAAATGACACTGACTTGACTTGACAGCAGGCAGATTAATGATTCTATTCCTAGATGAGACCCCACCTGGTCATTGAGGAGGAACGCGGCTGAGTAGGGTGTCAGGATGGCGGTGTAGATGACCAGCAGCAGGATGAGCCAGTCCCACACCGCCTTGAAGGGGCTGTAGTGCAACACCGTCCACTTGTGGATGCGAGGAGCCTGGAGTTTGTACTCTGGCAAAACATCTGCACCCAGAGACAGCACCTGGGTAGAGAGAGGGGGACAGGGGGGCAATCAGACATCGAAAAATAGGGGAGAGATGAGGAAAAAGAAGAGGGAAGAAGGAAAGAAAAGAGAAAATGTGGAGAAAGGGGGAGGGGAGAAAGGAAAAATAGATTATATCACCATGAGACTGTGTACATAAAGCAGTCCACCTATATGCACATACAGTTGCACACAGCTGAGTGCATATAGCAGCTCCATGAAATATACATCAACTTCAGTGACGTGTGCTGCGCTTACACACTGCTTACAACAACATTGTTTGGCAATTACAGGGATAGAGCCAGTGTACACTGAGGATGAAGTTGATGAGAACTGTTCTGAAGGCGCTGACCCTCTTATGGTTTCCCTCCTAGGCACTGTGTTTCCCACATACACATATACGCATGTTCCAGATATGCAAATACACAATAATGCATAAATGTAGACACACACACACACACACACACGTGTACACACAATTAGCAGCCATGATTCCAGTGACATCTACTATTTTTTCTGTAGCAGTGGCTCTGACACGAGGGCTTTGACTCTAAAGTGACAATTGACAAGGAACTGGATATAACCATGTTCTAAATGCATATATACAAACACTCACACACACAGATCCAGTTCCTTCCATCTCACACACAAACACATTAAAACACAAACACACACCAGGAATGAGATCTTGGGTATTATGGAGCAGTTCTAAGTAGCTTTACTTGCAGTAATGTATTCCACCGTCTGCACTGCACTCACCCCCTAGACGAGATCAGGAATGAATCAGTATAAAGAGGCATTAGCACAGCCTGCCTTGTGTCTCTGCTTAATAGAATCACACAGTGAACTGCAGAAGCTGAAAGCAGGGCCAGAAAAAAATACTCAGCATTAGAATGCAAGTGACAAAACCAGACGTGAGTTTGACCGACCAATAAACAGTAGAATAACTGAATGGAGAAATACATTAGAGATAAGGTGGCTTATTGTGCACAATACTGTTGCTGCCATGCTGTCACGTGTCACTAGTATCAAAATATAGGGGAAGACCTTACAATGTGATGCAATCCAATACAACACCAAAAACTATGGCATCTCAGACACAGTCTAAAAAGAAAAAAAAACATAAGCTTTACAAAGATAGTATGCAATTTACAATACAGTCAGAAGAAATAAGAAATTATTATGAGTTATTTCTGTACTCCAAGAAACTCTATCTCCCTACTCCATGTGAAATAGGTAATTATGGACTTTTTATGCAGTCTTGTAAGTCAAAATTATTTCTGCAAATGTCTTTTCGCCTGGGTTTTCCATTTTTTAAAGCTATCAAAGCTCTTCAAAATGATTCACCTTGCATCTATTCTGTGTGACTGTGTAGGATTTCACAAACAATTGCTGTAAGCGTGGAGCAAAAATTTGACACTGGTGCAGCAGACCAACAGACACATTTGTATGCAGGTAGAGTTGACCTATGTTTGGCCTGGGAGGCAGTGACAAGTTCCAACACAGTCCCCAGGGAGGGGGCAGAGTGTGTGCAGTGTGTAACAATCGAGTGAAAAGAACAACTCATACACTGAATTAAGTCAAAGAAAACAGATCAGAAGCGATTAAAGACATGGGTTAGTGATTCAGATACTATACTGAGTTCTGTATTTCCGGTTGGCACACTTCCTTCACCTCCTCTCACCTCTGTGTGTTTTTTTCCCGATGCATTCCATTTAGCTTTAATTACTCCACTTTCTCTTGTTCTTGTTTCTTTCCAACCTCCTCTTGACCTGCTAAATCTCTTCTATTCCAATTTCAAGTTCTCTTCCAGCAACCCTCGCTCAACCGTCCCGCCTCCTTCTCTTCTTCCACAGCCAGAAGCCCAGTCAGTCTTCATTCACCCTATCACCATCCCCCTGCCTCCTATCTCACCTTCCTTTCTTTTCCTGCTCTAAGGGACGGTTTTTTATCCCTTTAGACTAGCTCTCTCCTCCTCTTTTTCTCTTTGACTCTGAGTTGCCCTTCCTCCCTCATGATTTTATTCCCCCTCCTACGTTCACTATCACTCTTCTTCACTTACTATGGCCCAATGGCAGACTATATTTATGTACAGCACTTATGATTAAACCATCCCTACAACATATGTTATATAAGAATCTGATATCCCTCATTCTCTCTGTATTTCCTCAGGAGTTGTTCTTATAGATGCCAAAATTTGGCAAGATAAGATTTTCTTGATTTATTATAAATGAGCAAGAAATATTTCAGTGTGTATCCGCTCTGTAACTGAGCCAGCTGTTTCATATCTTAGCCAGCTCTTCAGAATTCTGGCTCCTTCAAAGGCTTTATTTTCAAGTATTTCTGTATGTAAGTCCCTTCATGCATAAAAATAAAAAAATTTACTGGTATTTTGTTCATAGAGATACTAGAATACTTTCGCTTCTCTTCATAATTGTATTAATTACCTAATAGATAATTACTATACTATACTTCTGCAACTTTAATCATGGTTATCTTGATCTAATCCTCCATCTCTTCTACGGAGAACACAGTAATGTCTTTTTTGTGTTTGTGTGCTAACAATGCTAACATGCTGACAATGTTTAACATGTTGACTTGACTAACTTAGCAATTTAGTATGCTACAATTTTCTAATTAGCCCAAAACACAAAGTATAGCTGATGGAAAGTGGAGGATTTTCAGGTGTTTAACAAATTAAATGTTGACCTGATGATGGTACAAGACCTGCTAAAAGATAAAAAGTTAGTGGATCACCAGAGTTATTACAAACCATCCTAAGGAAAACACAAATGCACCTAATTTCATGGCAATCTATCCAATAGCTGCTGAGATATTTCAGTCTGGAACAATGGTGGACCAACCAACAGACCGTAGACAAACACAGGAATGCCTAAAGCTGATAGCATGGCCAAACCAAAGAGACTTATAAAGGGGAGAGTTACAGTTTTAAAAAATTAACTTTCACAACCTATCTGTACCTGAATTTGCCCCTTTATTACCACTTTAAGCTGGTTAAAACAGGTCAGTTGCTTCCTCAGCATATGTTACTTAGAATAATGCTAAGCTTTCCAAAGAGCTGTCAAGAAAAAACCCAAACATAAGCTAGCTTTTCTTATCTAATGTTTTATAATGATGGAAAAAAGGTGTGTACATGTGTATTGTTGAAAGAGTGTTTATATGTACTCACTTTTTACATCAGCCTGACAACCACCTACTCCCACCTCCTACTCTTTCATTTCCTTTTCTTGGTCACAACTGAATACCTCCTTAAATAACATTTACACTAGTGAATGTTCTGTAATTATGAAACATGACTTTAAACGTCAGTTTATCAAACATAAAGTTTGTTAGTTGATGTAAAGCTCATCAGAGTTTCTTGGGGTCTTCATGCATCAGTAGGCTTAAGTAAAATAAATAGCTGAGGGGCTGATCAGTTTTAACAGCTGGGAGAACCTTCCAGAGCTTCCATCAGCTGTTTCCCCCTAATCTGTATCATATTTTTAGTTCAACAGATACAGTTCTCAATATAATACATGCAAAAGAGTGACAAGTATAGAAAGGACATTAACATACACTGTGTACACCACAGTTATCAAGATGCTGTAGTATACTGTATACATCAGCTAAAACATTTTATTTCACACTGCTAGAAACCATTTGTATTTCTATCCACACCTGTCTTTCATTACTGAGTAGTTTAACGATTTTTGGGTTTAGTTTTGTTCAAGTGTGTGAACTTTTTCTCTCATGCTGGCTTTGCGGAGCCAAAACCCTCTTTTGCTTCAGGCCCTGTGCTTTGTTGTTTTCTGATCAAAGAATCACCCACAGTGGCTTACTGGGGACAGTTTCTGCATTCGCATATAAAAATTGTATATGTCAGGTTTAAAAAGTGAGTAGATCAAAAAGCAGAAAGGGTATCATCTTTTGCTTTTCTGCCCTTTGCCTTTTTGATTTCTGGCATTTTATCGTCAAGGAATCACACTAGAGATCTAGCATTATCTCAACTGTCACTAACACATCTGTTTAAGCAACAAGTGTGAACAGACGCAAACACTACTTGCAAACATACACACACCCCTACAGTTCAGTCAAGTGCCCCTCTCAGCTGTGTGTCCCCCTCCTGGAGTATCTTGCGGGGTTATTTTTAGCCATCTGTGTGAAACTAAAAAACATGGCCACAAGGACTGTTAAAAGTGCAAATGTCAAGACACATTTAAGTGCAGATAGGAAACAGTTGTATATGAGGACAGCACTGTAGGGTGAAGGCTTGAGGCGGGGGGGCTGAGCGCCTGTGCTATGAAAAAGATATGTTTTTCTCACTTCACCCACAACAAGCTGTTTCTTCCTGGCGTTAGCCTACAGAGTGGAATCCCCGGTCCAGCTGACAGCAACGTCATCAGCGAAGTCTGCACATTATCTTTGCCAGACATAGACAGTTATTCCTGAAACTCATGGCATTTGCTTGGACTGCATCTGACACAGTGGGTCAGGTTGAGTGCGCTGAATGTTCTCAATTTACTGCTTGGATTGAAACTACTAAAGAAATGTACTAAATTCGACATTTAGTGACCAACTGAAGTCGTGGCCAGTATAGAACAGGATAGATGAGGACAGAACAGGATTCTTTTTTTAAACAAAAGTCAGATTCAAATACAAGCCAAAGCTCAGGTTGTCCATTAGACTGTTGCAGTGTCAGTTCTACTTTATGACACTCAATGGTTTAGAGTGACAGGAGAGCAGATAAGAGGACAAGAGTAGATCACTTGTGACAAGATATAAATCAAATTTAAATCCAAAATGTCAGATACATGGTATGTACCTGCTTAACCATCAAACCTGTCATATTCTCTTAACATCCTGCAATGTCACTATTCAGTAAGATGACAGCAGAATAGGCCGAGTGCATCTAGCTGAAGCCACAGCACGAACATAAAGAACAAACATGAAGGAAGCTGAACTTCCAAATATGGTTAAAGGGCCGGTTGGGTCACAGAAGA